TCAAGATGAAAAATTTCTAGTCAGTTGGTTAAATGCGAATAAGATGAAGCTGATGTTTTAATCAAACGCATTATCCACATTACTGCTGAGTAGACACAGAACTAATGGAAAAATAGACTGAGTCACAAAAACACACATTACTTATATTATTATTATTATTCCCTTGCGTTCCAAGTGAAACACAGGGATTCAACAACACATCTCCAATTTCTTCTATTTTCTGATCTTCTCTTCAGATGAGTGAACGATTGCTCATAATCTCTCATCGCCTCCTCACCACACAATCTCCTCCATATCAATCTAGGACGACTCACTCGTCGCTTCCTATTTGGATTCCATTCAAGATCCTGAGACTCGATGCCATACAAAGGCTTCCTCAGTGTGTGCCTAACCCATCTCCACTTTCTTCTACGTAGTTTTTGAGCAATCGGCTCTTTGTTTGTTTGCTCACACAGTTCCTTGTAGCTAGATTATTCTGGCCATTTGATACTCAGTATGCAGCCAGAGAAGGCAGCTGTTGATGAAATTATGTAACTTGTTGGAAATCCTTTAAGTGATGCGCTCGACAAGTTTCTGACGCGTATAGAAGAACCGAATTGACATTGATGTTGAAAATGCTAACCCTGTTCCTTATTCTGAATGCAGAGGATTTACAAACTGGTTTCAGGTCAGCCTCCAGGCCACACTTCTTACTCAACATGAATTTCTCTGATTATGTAAGTGATGTGTGAAGCAATCTGTAAAGTTAGCGATCCTTCAAAGTATTCAGCACTCCAAACCGATAATGAATGCAATGCAGGATAGTCTGTCAGCATGCAATGTGCAAATAGTGATACGATAAAAGAGAAAGTTAGGTGGAGGAAAAATGGGAGAGGTAAGTGTTTTGATAATTCATATGTAGGAGCTCTAATATTATCTCACATTAGAAATAATTCAAATTCTAAGATAAATAATTCATATAATATAGGTGTGTACTACGTCTTTGTATTAAGAAATATAAGACGAATATAAAGCTAAGCGATCGCTTCCGTGAACTGGCGATGACAACTTTGAGGCAGAATATGAAAACTAATTAATACTGAGACGTCAAGATTAACATTCTGACTTAAATTTACGGTGAGTAGAGCATTATAAATTGGATTAAGCAGAGATTATGGATCACATTGTTCAACGCACGGTGTCATTGAACGCGACTTGACCTGTACAAAGACGCCATATGGGTATAATCAGCCGCAGATGAGTTCAGTCCAAGTTGAAATTGATGTGCTAGGTGTTTATAAAAAAGTAGCACCGTTCACTGGTGACACCCAGTCTCTAAAGTTAACCGAAATAACAACATGAAATTCAAGAACCAGAAGAGGCCTTAATGACGCTGAAATTTGCTGCGGATAAATAACACGAATAAACACACTCCCCAAAGATTAATGTATGGTGTAGATATGATAGAGAAGATTTGTAGCTCAGGTGGATAATTTTGATGTGGTTTTGTTCTCTGAGCTGGATAGTTAGTTTGCGAAGCTTTCATCACCTTACTGGGTGACATCTTCAGCGCATACTTCAAATTGAAGTGAGCTTTTAGGTTTCTCCACGAGTTTATTAATCATTCCTCCTGGTGACGTTGAACGTGATTGGTTGTTTATGTATGTTTTCACACCTTCTAGGTTACTTGTGTGTGGAACTGATTGTTTCTGTGACTTGAACTTTGGCCAATCGTGTGTGAAGTTTCTTTCTTATTGGTTGATAAATTTTGTCTATCTCGATGTGTCTATTGATTGATGATTCACTGGAATGCCAAGCTTCTAAAAATTCTCTAGCATTCTTGTTATTTCCTTTGTCTAATATTTGAACGTTGGGAGATTTTTTGGTCAACTAATTTTAAGAAATACTTAAGTTATGCGGAAATTCTAAAAGATGAAAATGACAAATCTAAAATTTTTGAATAAAAATGCAAAATAGTGCGTTATTTAACAGTTCAGTTTTAAATAGTATGATTTTCACCAGAAAAGTGTGTATTTATGCTGAAAATACCTTCAGCTAAGAACATTCACATTATTTACGCATATTGAAAGATAGATAGATGGAGAATTGTAGTATTAGGTGAAATTGTGTTTCGGTGGAGTTGTAATATTGTTTGGATATTGTCTGGAGGATACTTTCTCTGGCCAATAAGGAACATTTTGTCCACCTGATAAATAAAAACTCAACGATCATTGTCTTTCGTCGATAACACTAAACTGTGACGATTAGAGATTTTATCGTTGAATGAATCGAAAAGAGATAAATCTCCTTATCAAAGAATACTCAATGCGTTTGTTAAATACACATGCTTTGCGTCAAAATCTGTGTTCACCAAACCAGTTTCTTTCGTCATATTCTCGGACAGTGAGATGTAAACGTAGAAACCTAAAGATTTAATGAGTGTATTAGATTTTGACGTTCATGACTTCATTTAACGTCTAGTGCTAAGTGCAGCTATAGGGCCAGCGCTGACTGGGTTCCTTGGGATGCCAAGAATCATCCTTGCTAGAATTTTGATGGGATGATTGGAAATCATTCACACTGATGAGAATTTGTTCATAGTTCATCATCATACAGAGTGTGAAATTTCCCATCTGACTTCTTGTCAGATTCTCATCCTGTTCATTTCTGTTAACCTGTTATCTCGCTGATCAATTAATTACTTAATTTTATATTTGAGACAAAAGCAAAATAGACATACTTCACTGTGGACCTCTAGATGGCAGATCACTAATTCTTGAATAATACTGAATCTTTGAGATGAATTCTGTTGTCGAATGGAAATTTCAGGTGTTTTTGGGATCATGCTATGAATGTGATAAATCCACTTCACTTCGTGCATAGAATGTGGTGGTCCATGCATAATTAGCCAATACTTGGGCGTTCTAAGTGATTCTATAAACAACAACCGAAACAAATTAAGTAAACGCAAAAATACACACAAATATATACAGGCAAATGAATGAGATGGAGACAAAGTATACTCCACATTTCAAATATATGCTCATCAATTCTTAGTATTTCAAACGTCTAATTGTAGAATAAACCAGATAATATTCTTAGGATTCCTGTGTACCATCGTTCGCACTCTTGTATTCGTAGGTCTGTCTGTCTGCCTGTTTTCGACATAGAACTTTGCACAAATGTGCGGAAGTTCAAGTAGCCACACTCCGTGTAGCACGCGAAGCAAGAGAAGAAAGTATAAGGAAAGCATAATAGAAACTGTATTCGTAGGTATTTTCTTTCATAAACTGGTTTTATTTTAGCAAATACAATTCCATATACAAAAGAGATGTTTATTTTTCTGCAAAGCTTTCTGACTGAGATAAACACTGCAACTTGAATAGTTAAATGTGCTTATAATCTTCTATGAATTGACACGGAAGACCAAAGTGCTCGCTTTTCAACCTCTGCTACCTAGTATCAGTTTAAAAGCTATCACGTTAATCTGTGGAAGTTGTCATTCTATGATTTTTATATGGCCACTTTTGTATGCCTTAGGTTTGTAAGGTGAAATGACTGATTTCAATGTAGTTGCAGTACATAGACGCCCTTTGAAACATTTACTCTTCAGTTTCCTCGTGTAGAAGATATAATATATTCGATTTGCATTAGAAGAGATATTGTAATCTCTTGCCTCTTGATAGCTTCAAAAAATATCACTTCTCAAAATATTTTCTCGGTTAGTCAACTTTACATTTCATTTGAGATAACTTGTGGCTGATAACTGTGGCTGAAGAGCAAACCACCAATATTAGCGAATCTGCTCATATCTCAGTGAAAACTTCATACTCATATTGTTCGAGAAGCATTCATGTGACAAATATCAAGATTTTATCATCAGGAAGTTGTTTCCTGATACACTCAAAATGTTCCAAGTTTGTTGTGTACTTTTATTAAGTCTTTCCATGTTTCCTTTTCAGAATCTACAAGATTATTGGTTGAATTTTCTTGTCAACTCTCTGTATGGTAATTATTCTCACCCTTAAGAACGAGTTCAAAGTAAACTCTACAGAGTTCTATTGTCAAGTATATCAAAAGAACTGACATTCTGATGACCTCATACACAGATAGCAAGACTAGTAATCTTCCAATCATCCAGTCCATTGATCGTACAGTTTTATTAAGATGGCATGTAGAGTAAAAACTGTCACTTTGATTACAACAGGTGATCTTCGAAAAGGCGTATGAAATACGAAATGTCAACATATACAACAGTTTCGACAAGAGAATAGGCTCACAGATAGATTGAGCAGCCAACAGAGCTTGAGGTGAATTGAAAGCTACGGACCGACAAAGTGGAATACACTCAGTCAGACAATCGATCATAGACAAACGCAAATGGATATCGTCCTAGTTGACATATAAAAATTGAAAGTCTATCTGGTAGTGTTGATGTAAGCCCTTAAGGCAGTATTGCACCACCCAGATCAGTGTAAATTTCCGTTTTAGTGGGGATTCAGAAATAATTATCATTAACAAGGACTTAAAATTTCACTATCCGTAAGAGACAGGTGAGAAGAAAACAAGAGAACAACAACAAAATAACTGCGGATCACGCATCTTAGGTGAGTTTCCTTCGTAACAGGATTAACAAAGTCACAATCTGAGGTCATTCAAGGACAATACAAGCAAACTACTCAGTTGAAAACCATAATTTACTGAATTGACCCTTATACGTGATATTTACTCTCAAAAGGTCATCATGACGAACGCATTTAAGCATATATAAGCACGAATATATGATTGAGTTTCGTCTTGATTCAGCTGCTTGTGATGGTGGTTTCGAACGTCTGAGGACGTGTATACACAGTGAGTCGATTAAGTGTGTGGATTTTATGAGTAGACGATAGTCATTCTCATCAATCCCTTCTATTGTTGTGTTTATTCATATTCACCTTCATAAATCCATCAGTACAACACATACACTTAGCATTTGAAATCCTCTCTCACCTATATATTTTCATCCCAGCAGAACCACAATGCGGCTTAGCGTGTTGTTACTGCTGAGTTTGGTTTTCTATGGATATGTGTTGACCGAACCGCTACCCGTCAATTTGGATGTCCAAGGTAAGCGAAAATACCTGTTTTTGTCCATGCGCCGTGTGATTTTTACAACCGTGCACTTGAGAGTGTTTACTCAGTGACTGACCGTTTTTACGTAATGTAAATTCCTGAACATTTACGATTCTGAATTTGATAGGCACTACATTACTGTTATATTTTACCTTTGTAGTTCTATTAACTCATCTACAAACATGCTGGATGAAAAAGGCGAGCATTTTCTTGTCATTATTTCTCACTGACTGACGTCTATCACTCACTATTATCAAACGATATGAACACAAGTGTCGTTAGGTTCTGGTGCAGTGGGAATCTAATTTTGTCAGGTCTTATGGAGGCAGACTAGCGTAATAGTTGTGCATCAATAAAGGCAGTAATCTCACGTAACGACTTTATGTATGGTTCAGAACATACCCATATCTAATTCTCTGACTACCATCTCAACGAAAATGTATTGATCACAAGAATGGTGAAGTGTCTGTATCTAATAGACAACAAACATCTCTAATTCAAGCAAGGAGTTCGACACCATAACGATTGAAAAATCTAGTTACACAATAGCTAGCTTTGTACTTGACCTTATAGTCATGTAATCATATATCCTATTAAACATTTACTTATTTATGTATTGGAATGTCTAGCAGGAATTTAATTTTAAAATAGAAACAATTCGGTGTACAAGTTGACTAGCTCTCATGAAACTAAACGGAGATTAAGCAATGTGTCTGTAGACGGGGTATGAAATATGACTGAATATGAAAAAGGTTATTCAACGAATAAATAAACCTTAAGTCAGGGACATATTTTACATAAAGGTGTTCATTACCTTCACCTAATGTGTTTAGGATTAATCATTAGTAATACCTTTCTTGATCATGACTCTTCTCCACTACAGAACCCCCTGTTACGCAAGAAGTAAATGAAACGCACAGCAAAATTGTGGGGAATAGTGTGACTGTTGCTCCCTCTCATATTATAACCATCCCTTCAGATGATGATGATGCTGACAGCAGTAATCAAGATGATCCAGAGAATTCAGACAGAGATAAAGATAATGCCGACAACATTAAAACTCCGAATACCACAGACATAATTTTTGGGAGTGATTTGAATGCTACGAATGTGAATGCGATGGGTGAACTACTTCATGGACGCTATGATGATGACGACGATGATCGTGATTATGACGATGACTTTCATGACAAAAATGATGAGTGTTATTACAACAGGAAGGGAAGACTTTGTTACCACCATCATCATCGACGTCATCACCACATTCGTCGTCATCATGGCTATCATCACAAACAACACAAGTATCATCGACGCCAACACCACGTTCGTCGTCATCATGGCTATCATCACAAACAACACAAGTATCATCGACGCCAACACCACGTTCGTCGTCATCATGGCTATCATCACAAACAACACAAGTATCATCGACGCCAACACCACGTTCGTCGTCATCATGGCTATCATCACAAACAACACAAGTATCATCGACGTCAACACCACGTTCGTCGTCATCATGGCTATCATCACAAACAACACAAGTATCATCGACGCCAACACCACGTTCGTCGTCATCATGGCTATCATCACAAACAACACAAGTATCATCGACGCCAACACCACGTTCGTCGTCATCATGGCTATCATCACAAACAACACAAGTATCATCGACGCCAACACCACGTTCGTCGTCATCATGGCTATCATCACAAACAACACAAGTATCATCAACGCCAACACCACGTTCGTCGTCATCATGGCTATCATCACAAACAACACAAGTATCATCGACGCCAACACCACGTTCGTCGTCATCATGGCTATCATCACAAACAACACAAGTATCATCAACGCCAACACCACGTTCGTCGTCATCATGGCTATCATCACAAACAACACAAGTATCATCGACGCCAACACCACGTTCGTCGTCATCATGGCTATCATCACAAACAACACAAGTATCATCGACGCCAACACCACGTTCGTCGTCATCATGGCTATCATCACAAACAACACAAGTATCATCGACGCCAACACCACGTTCGTCGCCATCATGGCTATCATCACAAACAACACAAGTATCATCGACGTCACCAACACAGTCGCCATCACTACCGTCATTACGGAAAACGTCATGGTTATCGAAGCCACCATCGCAGTCATTATCGTCACTATTGTCGTCGTAATGGTGGATATCGGCTTTGTTCACGTTATCGTCGTTCGTCATATAGACACAGACGAGGTGATTCGGTCTACAGTGAATTATCGAAAAGGAAAAACAGTGTGTTTGTGTATTCACTTACGTCAAATATCTCCCGCTAGTGTTCACCTAAATACAATTATACCTATTAGTGTTCTTCATCATGATTTATAATTAGTCGTATTTTTGTGTTATTTTCAAAACATATGTGTTGCTCTTTCAACTTCTTGTGTGTGCTTTGTTGATTTTGTGCATATTTCTCTGTGACCAGTTGTTATGATTTTGTATATGAATTCACAGTTACCTGACTTATACGCCTAATACAATTCTTGATGATGTGCTATAATAATTTCCTAATAATAATATGAACTACAACAAAATGTTTGTGTATGTAATCATAGTTAAGCATCAAGCGATAATACGGGTTATATGTTTTATTAAATAGTTCATGGAATAGATTGATTTTGGAAAGAAGTGTATCATTATTAAGGTTAGTAGGGAATCAGAAGACTGCTCAAAAAGGTGAGCATTTGGATAAGAAAGCACTGCAAAGCAATAGGTGATAAATACCATAAGACGTGATATGACTCAGACAGAAAAGAATAATGACAAATGGAATAATAAGGGATAGATACAGAGATTGAAGAAACTAAAAACGAAATGATGCTCAAGACTTCATCAGTACAAATAAGTAGTATTTGTCTTGTTGAAATAGCTTCACTGATTTGAAAACAACATCGAATATAAATCAGTATTTAAGATGGAAAACAAGTGTTCCGATGAATGACATCCACATCATTCAGCTAGGTTTAACTCTACTATGAACATCCAGAATTAATACTGAATCAATGGATATTATTTCTCAATAATGAACGTCATCAAGTATAAATCTGTTCGAACCATGGCTTTTAAGCAATGCTGATAACTTTTTATTTGCTCACCACAATCAAATTGCAGGTAAAACATGTCTGTGTTGAATTACAAGCGGATATGACAGTGAAATATGCTTCTGAACAAAGCTATAACATGATATTTGTTAAATATTAAGTAGTTTGACCCACTGCCTCAATGAATTTGTAGACATCACAAATCTTTCGACCAATTTTAAGGATGTCTATCTGGAATAATTCACATATTTCCGTTTTCTCAGTCTGTGTTTTTAAGACCGTCGTCTGAGACTGTATCAGAGGAGTGTCATATCAATTTTGTAGCAGATTTCCTAAAAACGTGTCCGTTAGATTGTCTAAATATGGCTCATTCGAATGGAAGAAAGTAGAGTATTCGAATCAAGACGAATATATATATATATCATTCAACCATAAACATATGCAACTGAGCCATCCCCTTTTAAAATGTCAACAGACATTTCCAACATTCTGGTCTAGAATAAGTGATATATATACACTAACAGTGTGGTTCAACGTACTGCAGTCGGATAAAATGAAGATCAGTGTGATGACATGTCTAAGAGAAAGCTAGAGGGCATATAACTTATTCCATTTATCATTTATTATTTGGTCTTCTTGAAGAATGTGTGAAAGTGACCAGCAAAGACCAAGATGTATTCCTTCGAATGGTTTTTTTAACAGCTTGTAAAATATAAACAATAGGAATTCTTGTAATTTCTTATTACTACTGATAATACTGCTACACCTTTGAAGATTATAAATCTGTTGTACCATTTCATAATTGATCGAGTTGTTATTTGTATTTACTTATTAGATTTTCACGTGTTTGTCACTGTAAAATGAAATCAATCAACTTTAAAAAGACCATGAAGTAATTGGGAAATAACTCCAACATCATTCAACAGCTATATGACAGTACCATATGTGAAGTAATTGAGGACGAAAAACTAAGCCAAGCCTATGAATTGAATACAATAACAAGACAAGGCTGCCTATTATCACCAGTGATATTCCTAATTGTAGTGGACTGAATTATGCATCAGACCGTGGGTACCAAGAGGACAAGAATACGCTGGACTAATAAGAAAACTGCAGAGGTTCTGGACTGTGGAGACAACTTATATCTAAGGTCAAATAAATTCAAACACTTACAGACAATAACTAACAAACTGGCAAATGAGGCAGGTAGTAAAAATGGGATTTCAAGTGAACATAGAGTAGACGGAGGTATAAACGATAACCAATCAACTTCAACAGGCATTCGTCACTGTCAACGGAAGAAATTTGAAAGATGTCACTTTCTCCACTTATCTCGATGGCATCATTTCAACTACAAATGATGAGGATGGAGTTGTCGAACCCAGTCAGAAAGTTGTATAGAAAATCCCATTTGAACGATTTAATCACAACATTCATACTTATGTGGACGTTTTAACTAGCTTTGCATTTATAATCTCATTAACTGCACACCATTATTTTGACAATCGTTTATCACATGATGATTTGATCCTTGATACTTCTGTTTCGCCTTGTTTAATCTCTAATTTTAATGCTTCTCGTTGTGAATGTGCTTACACTGACAGTGTGCTGTACGATGCTACTTTGTTTCAGTGAATTCGGACTGTCCATGAGAAGCATTGATGTTTGATGTTTGCTGACAAAGTTTTTGATCCCACCTTTTCTGGACTCTTGATTCTAATTACACTTTTTATCCTAAGGCAGGAATTTGGAACAATATTGAGATAATTTCGAGTTTTCGATGTTATGAATGCGTAATAGAACCACAGATTTCAAGAAGAATTAATCGTTTTTATGCTGTCATTGAAGCTTTTTGTGGTTGTACTTATCTGTAGAATATTTCGTCAGCTGTACAGTAGAACACAGAGATCGGCTTTCTATCTTCAGATCGTGACGTATCAGTCTTCGTTGCTACACAGACTTTTATCAGTCTGAAATCAGGGTGAACATCTTCTGCACTTAGCATAAAGAAGAAAATCGTGCTTTCAACATGACTTTTAGTTCAATTCTTCTACGTGGGAGTTAGTGGAGACAGGCTGCAGTCTTTCATTACCAGCTGTCCCGATTCCATACTGAAGATCATACAGTCTGAAAGATTTAGGCACAAGAAACTGTTGGAACAAAATAATCAAGAACCTTTTGCTCATTAAATATGCCAAAGAAAAATAAATATGGATCGGACACGCGCTATGGAGACTGTTGGGTGACATCTTGCACTCGACAATCACTCGAGTGAGACCTGAACGGGAAACTACGAGTTCGGTGTTGGAGTGTGCCATGGAGGAGAAGAGGACGAGGTAGTGAGGACTGTAGGTAATGGTGGAGCCAACTGAAACAGACTGCAGATAACAGGATCAAGTGGAGATGTACTGCAGAAGCCCAGCGTTCTACTGAGAATCCAATGGAATGATAATAACAAACTAAGCAATTCATTTCTTTTTGTAAGTTAAAATTTTCTGATTAAAATAACAACTCATACAACAAGCCAAATGGTTGTGAACTGATTTGTTTGACAACCTTATTGTAGTTTGACACTATGTGTCAATGGAAATAAGAATTGATTTATTCTTTCCTCAACCAACACTTAAGTATTTTGATCTTTATAGTTGCAATAATGTTGCAAACTATGAATGTTGTGCTGTTTACTAGCACTGGAAACAGGAACAAACAGGCAAAGTACTGCCTCAACACTCAACAGTACTGAAGTTATGGACATGAGCATGGATTACTCAGGACCTAGCTGATTTCACACACAATTCTCATCAAATAATTAGTCTTAAAATGTAATCTACAGTATTTGTGGAGAATATAAGTTTGACCATTGTATTTCTTTTGTGAAATATTTAAAATGCCCTCTCCCATCAGGACAATTTTTTTCATTTCCTGTCTGAATTAAACCTATTTTTTAATCGAAATCCTAGAGTCCTACAGCAGATAAATCATTAGCCCCAATAGGTCAGTTGTAACGGCTCTGAATACAGTACACAGTGAACCACATTCGAATCTCCGAAGGGGTTTACATTCATTCAAGATTGCAGATACTCCATAGCTAGTGAGTGTCAACAACCACGAAAGCCGCCTCTAAGGTCACCTGTCATTTACTTCCAACTATCTAATAACAACAGTTTGGAGTACATCATGATGACTTGCCATCTAACATGTTAGCCACATTCTGTAATAGACTGATAGAAGTCAGTCTGCGCCAAACGAAGAACTAGACTCACGGAATTATTCATTAGCTGATATCCAGTCAAAGATTTAAACCCATGTTTATCTGCTATATACATTTCTCCTGAAATATAATTTGCTACTCGGATAATGAAAAATATGCACGTGTTCAAGCGCACTTTGTTTTCTCATTGACCCTCCCTACCTGCTTGCAATTATATTAATTACTCATGCTTTTCTGGAAACATACAGGAAATACTCATCCTTGTTCAAATAAACATAAATGACCAGAACAGTAAAGTTATAGTGAAGGGACATCATGAACACTTAATTGTCGAGTGCATTGCAGAAATTCCTCTCAAATGAACTAAACTCTATTCTCAGACAACTCAATATTCAGATAATCTTTCAATTCTCAATAATTATAATGTATTGTTTGATTGTCCTATGTTATTTGTAGATTACAGGATTTGTGAGGATTTAAAATTCCTTTCAATTGTTAGATTGTCGTCGCTAACCAACATCAGTTAGAGAGACCACTGGTAACCATGTAGCACTGGACAACTTCCTCTCCCTACTTTGGGACTCTTTAACAGTGCAAATTGAAGACTGGATCTTCAAATTACGAAACATAGCCACTTCGGATTGAAAAAAACCAAACAAACCAGTACGCAGCCTGTTCGAATTTTTTGGGCTTGCTAATATAATATCTACATTTTGCATCCAGTCTACTGTTTACCAACATACATTTATCACCTAAACGTGAATTCTAACAGAATCATTTACTCTCGTAACTTTATTAATCATTTACGACCAAATGACTTTCATATTCCAAAGAAACCAAGGAGGAAACATCGTAGTGGTTGGCAGAGAGCTCTCAAACGTACACCAATACACTTAACTACGGTCCCCGTCATAATGAACACAAACTGTCGCTCTCTGCCAAACAAGATAATGTACCTACAATCCTTGATGTCAACTGATACGTATCATAACACCGCCATAATCACATTACAAGAAACGTGGTTGCATGAACTGTATGATGACAACCTTATCTCACTAAAGGACTTTATTTTATTTCGTCAAGACCGTCAATGTTGTAATAAGAAAAATGGTGGTGGCGTTGCAACTTTTATTCACTCCAAATGGTCTGTCTCAAATAACGTCTGCTTCACCTTCTCAAATGACTTCATTGACTGTATTACTGTCAAATGTCGCCCCAAACATCTCCCCAAATATAAACAAATCTATATTACAAACATGTACATTTCTCCTA